TAAAAGTGACAGTTTGTGTGCATGGGCGTTCCAGTGCATATTGGGAACAGGCATCTAAACAATAAGGTTTTCAAAGGCATCAGCTGTTACCCTAACTAAATTAACTGAATAAACTAAATATGAGACGGAAGAAGGTAGGCGCGAGGGCGCAGCCCTGCTGCACTCGGTCGGTCACTGCAAAAGCTTCGGTGCCGTCCCGTAATCAGTTACATGCGTCATAATCTCGCCGTGAAACTAACGTATCATGTTGCTAATTCGCGCAGGACAGCCGAATTTCTGCATAACTTACAACAGGCCCCTGCGATTCACCATATCGAGGGATTTCATCAGGTCCACGAAGATCTTTTAAAGGTAATTTTCCGTCTCCTGGCGCTTATCCTGCAGCTGACTTGCGCTGAAGATAACTTCGATATTTCCACGATAACTGCGGCGACGGCACTGGCTTTCCGCCTGGAATCCTTGTTGCAGATGGCTATTGAGACTATCGAGGAGAGGACGGACGAAGATGTATCCAACGATGTTAACCAGCGACGAAATTTCGTGACTGTCACAGTGCTGGCCGTTCCCTTCCCGCTTATAGACATGAATGATTGTGGCATCCTGGAAATCCCGGTGGAAATATCTTCGACGTCACAACTGCCGGAGGAGCGTCGTGGTGTGCCTCTCCTCTGGTAGTGTCTTGAAGAGTGGGCTGGAGATTTAGGAGGGCACTGGTTTTCATAGGAACCAGTCGGTCGCGGCTGACATCGGCGATGTTGAAGGGGCAGTTGACGCCGCTTGGGAAGAACTCGCTTACTGTGCCTCCATTGCACAGACTTATCTAAAACTGCGGAAAAACACATTCACTCCATCTCTAAACGCTTTCCGCGGTCATTCAGACACAAAATGGACTGAAACGGCCATATATAACATCACGAATATTTGTGGTAAATTATCACCCTAACGCACACATATCTGACCCATATAACCTGACATACACTCACATGGCGAAGCATGATAATCGGTGTATTCTGGCATCTGCAAAAGTGCGTGTATAGCACACCTAGATGGTATTCTGCCGACGCATAAGCTACTGAACACAAGTTAGGTCTCTGAAGACTGCCGAGTGTGCAGAAGTAAAAGATAAGTAGATTTTTATACTTAAGGTGCCCAGGGGCACTATAAACA